CGATGGCAGAAAATAAATACAGCATTAGAACTGATGTGTGATTGAGACAGATCCTCAGGGCTCTAAGATTAGCTAACATATACCAGAGCTCCTCTCTTGGGTGAGATGGTTTTAGACAAGAGGGGCTCTTAAAAATTGTGTTAATTTTTGGGATAAAGGTCAATTTGTTTGGGGGGAAAAAAACCTTATTGTGGAATATGCAGTACTGTTCTCAATTTCAGAGCCCAAGCTCTGACACCTCTTGGGGGGAGGTGATGGTAGCCAGGAAGGCCACTTTGATGGACAGGAAATACAAGGGTATCTTTCAGATGGATTCAGAGAGGTGCTGAGTCAGATTAACCAAACTGAGGTCCCATAGCAGTGCTCGATGAATCTTTATATCATCCTTTTAAGATTTTCTCTGAGGAAATGCTTCATATTCCACTGTAAAGAGATCCTCTTTCTGCCTGTAGAGGAAAATATGCTAGAAAATGCAGCCACTTGATATTTTAACGTTGAAGCTGTGAAGCTCTTTATTAGACCCTACTGAAAAAATTTGAAGGTCTGTGATATAGATGGTGACGGAGACATACTATGTTTCTTGCATCACTGCTTGAATGTCTGCCAAGTTCCAGAATTGAAAAAAATAGTGGAAGCTTTTCTAGATACCAGCCGAGTTGAGACCATGCCTTCCACGTAGCCTCTCGCTTTCATGCGTAACTGCTCAAAAGCCAGGCAGTTATTAAATACTTTGGCTCTGGGTTACAAAATCAGTCCCTGAGAAAACAGATCCTGTCTTAAAGGGTGGATAATGGGAATGGAGTCCTCACTGGGATCAGAAACGTTGGGCTAACTCACCCAATACAGAGCCACTAATACTATCTGTGTTTATTCCCTCCTGATCTTTGCCTATTGCTCTTGGATATCACTTTTCAGAGAAAAGAAGGAGACACCTCACGGCTTGTTCATGATGCAAATAGACCTCTCTCTGGTAATCCAAATTTCCTCATTAGAAACTGAAAGATTTCTGGATGGAGAAACCATTTTGCATGATCTAGCTGTTCCCTGCTTCGCCAGTTGGCTGTGATGTATTTCTTTCCTTGAATATGTAGAAATCTGCTGGACTGGAGGTTTTGCTTCACTCAGGAAGCATCAGAATGTGGACTGACCTTTGCAAGGATGACCACCCCTTTCCAGCCTCCTTATTGATGGAGGCCATTGAACTGGTGATTTCTGTCATGATTAGAGGGAGTTGCTCACTCATAGGGAGAAGGCCAAGTCCAGAACAAATTGCACAAAGTTCTAATCAATTTTTACCATTTCCTCTCCTGCATATTCAAGTGCCCAGTATTTAATTAATCTCTGTGTGAGCTCCCTATCCCTAGAGGCTGGCATCTATGCTGGTTTAGAAACGGTAAGAAAATCCCTTCTTGAAACAATGTGTGCTAAGCCACCATCTTAGACTATTAGTCTAAGAAACTGGACTCTCCAGATGGGATGAATTAAGATGTGAAGAAGGTAGACTGGACCACTAATGGATCACATGTACAGACTAAAGGTTTTAAGATCCAGATTTGACCTAAAAAATGGGGTGTAGGGGAAGGTTGTCTTTCTAGATTGCTTTAGCTTTAAGTAATTCTTTTTGGAGTTTTTATAAAAGCATTTTTACTTTATCTGCTCACTTTCCAGCCTCAGCTAACAAGCCATTTCCAGAGCTGTGCTGTCAATAATCCTGGTGCAGGAACAAAGTTGTTGTTACAGAATGTTATGACTAGGATTGGACAAAGACTTTTGAATAAGGCTTGTTACAAATGGATTAGCAAATTAATAATAAAAATAAGTATGACTTGTTGATTTAAGGATATTTCCTTTGTATATTTTGACAATTTGTGTTTAAATGGTTTAAATCTTTAACTTTTTGAATCTCAATGCCTCATTAAATAATTGTCTTACCTCCCCCCCATAATTTCCCACAACTGTGAAAATTGTAATTGATAAAAATACGAGCTTAGAATACATAATCTCTCAACTGTGAAAAGTAGATTTTTATCAATCTAAAATACTTAAAAAAATAAACATCCACATAATCAGTCAAATATTTAAAATATATAAAAATTAAATTCTGCAAAGCCTAGGTATGACAACATATACAATCAGAATGCTGTTTTCACCTCCATTCATAGCACAAGTAACATAATGGAGAGAAGACAGACTTTACATGGGTTTTTATGCCATCCACGTTTCTTTTCATTACAGCTTAGTATCTTTTGTTTCTTCAAGTATTTGTAGATTAAAAAATATATATACAATTATTTTCAAATCTACTTTCAGTTAATGTCTCTACTTCTGTCCTGTTGCAGTTAACTCATGATTAACTCAAAAAAATTAATCACAATTAAAAACATTTATCGCAATTTTAATCGCGCTGTTAAACAGTAGAATACCAAATGAAGTTTATTAAATGTTTTGGATATTTTTCTACATTTTCAAATACTCCGATTTCAATTAGAACACAGAATATATAGTGTACACTGCTCACTTTATATTATTTTTGTTTACAAATATTAGCACTGTAAAAATGATAAACAAGAGAAGCAGTATTTTTCAATTCACCTCATACAAGTACAGTAGTGCAACTTACAAATGTAGATTTTTGTGTTACATAACTGCACTCAAAATCAAAACGCTGCAAAACTTTAGAGCCTACAAGTCCACTCAGTCTTACTTCTTGTACAGCCAATCACTAAGACAAACAAGTTTGTTTACATTTATGGGAGATAATACTGTCCACATCTAATTTACGTCACCAGAAAGTGAGAATAGACATTTGCATAGGACTTTTGTAGCCGGCATTGCAAGGTATTTATGTGCCAGATATGCTAAACATTCGTATGCCCCTTCATGCTTCGGCCACCATTCCAGAGGACATGCTTCCATGCTGATGACGCTCGTTAAAAAAATAAGACATTAATTAGTTTGTGACTGAACTCCTTGGGGAAGATTTGTATGTCTTCAGCTCGGTTTTACCCGCATTCTGTCATATATTTCATATTACAATAGTCTTGGATGATGACTCAGCACATATTGTTCGTTTTAAGAACACTTTCACTAAATATTTGACAAAACACAAAGAAGGTACCAATGTGAGATTTCTAAAGATAGCTACAGCACCAAAGTTTAAGAATCTAAAGTGCCTTCCAAAATCTGAGAGAGATGAGGCGTGGAGCATTCTTTCAGAAGACTTAAAAGAGCAACACTACAATGCGGAAACTACAAAACATGAACCACCAGAAAAGAAAATCAACCTTCTGCTGGTGGCATCGGACTCAGATGATGAAAATGAACATGCGTCGATCTGCACTGCTATGGACTGTTATCGAGCAGAAGCCGTCATCAACATGGACGCATGTCCTCTGGAATGGTGGTTGAAGTGTGAAGGGACATATGAATCTTTAGCGCATCTGGCATGTAAACATCTTGCAACGCCAGCTACAACAATGCCATGCGAACGCCTGTTCTCATTTTCTGGTGACATTGTAAACAAGAAGCGGGCAGCATTATCTCCTGAAAATGTAAACAAACTTGTTTGTCTGAGCGATTGGCTGAACAAGAAATAGGACTGAGTGGACTTGTAGGCTCTAAAATTTTACGTTTTATTTTTGAATGCAGTTTTATTTTGTACATAATTCTATATTTGTAAGTTCAACTTTCACGATAAAGAGATTGCACTACAGTCCTTGTATCAGGTGAATTGAAAAATACTTTTTTGTTTTTTACAGTGCAAATATTTGTAATCAGAAAAATATAAAGTGAGCAATATACACTGTCTCCTGTGTTGTAACTGAAATCAATATATTTGAAAATGTAGAAAACATCCAAAATTATTTAAATAAATGGCACTCTAAAAAAATTAATCGCGATTATTCGTGCGATTAATCGCACTGATAAACAATAATAATCACTTGACAGCCTCAGTAGAAACTCATCCAGATAGAAACCTTGCCAGCCAGTTTTATTCCTTCTCTAAGTACCAAATTATGTCAGAATACATTGTTCTACAATAAACACCTGTTCCCATTCACCTAAATAAAAAACTATGAGAGTGAACTGGCAAAGTTTTCCTTTTTTGGGGCTGGTTCTGAAAAGAAAAAAAAAAGATCATATGCTTCCATTGCTATTTACAGTCATTAGAAAAACAAACATTCACTTGAGGCAATGTTCTAAAACCAAGGAAGAAACTAAATCTTCAGAAGATATACTGGAGCAGAACAGAAGGTATACCTACATTTTTCCCAATTTCCAAAAATATTACCAGATCATCATTTTCTATCACTAATGGCTGAACTACACTGTACTGTCTTGGAAACTTATAGTATGTTGAGCACATTAGAGCACGCTGTGCCGCCTCACATCTAATCCAGAAACTATTTTTGTGAAAAAGAAATTAATCATACTCCTAACAACTAGCTGATATGTTCAGCAATGGAAAGTTATAAACTTCCAGCATGAGTCAAGTAGACACTGACAAGCTTATCAAAAACTAGAAATATTGCAGAATAGGGGCACAGCCTTATCGTATGCCATTAGAAAAACTTTAATTACCGCTGGACTACAGACGTTGATTTTGTTGCTAGTACCATTGAAATCTGTTTTATTATTGTATGTTGCAGTACTTCATTATCAGAATACTATTATAATGAAATTCCTCTTTAGATTTATAGAACAGTTATGGAGACATAGATAAAAGTGAAAACGACTATAAGTGTTGAATTTTTATGTTGACTGCAACAATTTCCATCAGAAACCTGAATGTTGCAACCAATATATTCTGCTAATGCAATGAAATACCTGAATCAGTTAAAACATCTTTGAATTAAAGAAAAAAAATCTGCTATTCTTCCATATTCAATATGTATTTTCACACTCTTAAGTAGATGAATAACTATTTCTCCAAAACCATTTTACAAGAAATAGAAATTTAGATGTACTCTTGGTATCTGTTAGCTACACAGATTACTTACAAGATCAGCGTATTTCTTGCAGAGAGCTGCCAACTTTTCTTCTGGAGTAGAAAGTGTGTTCAAGGCTTGCATCAATAACAGTACTTCTTTTCCTATGGATGAAAAAAAATTAAATACTGAAAAAATCCTATAAAAGCTTTTTCTCTGAAAAGAGTTCTGTATTAATGATGATCCAGAAGGTTTTTAATGGCATGTTAGTTTAATAGCTGTATATTGTTTTACTAGAGAATAGCAACACAAGTCCCTAAAAAACAAGGAATTCATATAATTAGCTTGCTGTTTGTAGACTTGTATAACATGTAGGGTGGTAGTATATTTAATCCAACTGCAGTATGCACAGAGCCTTAGACCACAAGAATTCTTTGACTTTCATAATTTCTCTTTCAGAAGATACAAACCAAGAAATATCGGATACACTTTTGAAACCAGAGATCTAAAATTCAGATTTTGTTATGACATACAGAAATAGTCATCAGCTAAAAGTGGTCTGATATACAGACAGTCATCTTCAGTGTATGTAACCAAACAATGCAGCATCATAGTCTTTAACAACCAGAAGTTAGACTAATCGGTTTATTTCCAATGATTAAACTGAGTGAAATGCAAGAAGTAAAACAACTTGTGACTAGTGGATTAGATTTTTTACAACATTAACATATTAACAGGTGAGGGACTTTTTAATATTAATTTTAACCAGTGACCTTTTAAAACATGTTCTCCCATTTCCCCCCAACACACATCATGATAAGGAGGACAAAATGCCATTTGGCAACAAAACTAAAGCTCCTGGGAATAACTCAGAGATTGCCAGAGTAAAATGTGAAGCCAATTTTTAAGGAAACATTAAAACCACTATCTTTTTCAAAACACAGAACTTGCTGTAATTTAGAAGCCAAATCCTAAAACAGCGCATACCTAAGGTTTTCTCTTTGTTTTTTTCAGTCTCCGGATCTTGTTGGCCATCAGGTGGCTCAGTACGGGCTTCTTCTCTCCCAGGAGTCTCCTCACGTGATTCTTGAGTACAGTACGTTGAACCCACTGGCTTTCTATTTTTTGTGATATAATCTTCGTCTTCCAATGCACCTGTACTTTCTATGCCATCACAATTGGACTGCAGATGTTGCAAAGTTGTGTCAGATTCAATGCATTTGCTGTTCATCAACTGATCCTGGGTATTCATTCCGATCTCACAAATTCCAGCTTCACCTGTTGTACCAATCATAAACTAGAAAAGGGGAAGAAGTAATCAGATAAGTTACCAAGTAAATTTTTCTTGAAGTAAAAAACCTCTACTCTATTTTCAGTATACATAAACAAGAATCCAAAAAGCTACTGTATCACTAAGTTGAACTGCAAACTGTAGTCAATACTTTTAGAAAAACTAATATTGTATGTATATAAAAAGCAATTTTGCTTTTCACTGATTGCAATATGTAAAAATGACCAACTTACCCCCAAATATTTAAGGAGTAATGCAGGCACTACACTTGACAATAATTCTCTCATAAGAAAGTAACCTGAAAAATTTAGGTACACAGGACTCCAGCCTGTTTTTTTTTTTTTAAACTCATGGAGCAGGTGAAGTAGTTACTACCCGGAGACACTCCCCAACACACAGAGTATGTCACTGAAACATCACCCTGTTAAGGATGAATCAAGCTAAGATTTATCTTCAATGGCTTGTCATTCCAAGAAGTGTAGTATTAGAAGAGTTACATGCTAAAATTATATTTCCATGCTAACTTTTTATTTGTGAGAAAGCTATAGTGTTCTAGCAGCTTTGACTAGAGTATTAAAATAAGCACACAGCTGTTCCATTGGTCAAAGTATATGGAATCAAATGAAAAATACTGTCAGACACAGGAAGCAGGAGTATTAAGTTAATTTTCAAGTAACAACACTCAAATAGGACCCTCAAAAAATTTAATAAATTATGAACCAGCCTATACCCTATATTCAAAATGTGATACAATCTAAAAATTACTGAAAAATCAGAAAGTCAAATATATTTAACAATTTCAAAAATACATACACATGCATTAAAAAACACAAACTTACTGACCTTTGCATCCCCAGAGTCAGTTTGAGAAGCTGTTTTTCCCAATTTAGTAAAACAAATCACAGAATATATACTCAAATGCAAGAATGCTGAACCCACACTTAGACGGTCCTTGATTACAGGTGAGACTAAAGTACAAAGCAGATGGACGCCATCCTGTATACTCTGCAGCACCAGTAAATGCCAGCAGCATAACTTTAATGATGTCTGACAGCTACTTTATGATTCAATTTCAAAGATTAAAGATATTAACATTTCAAATAATAGTTCAAAAATGGAACGAGGAAACATACAGGAGGGAGAGAGGAAAGAGGAGGATGAAACAGGACATTTTTATAATTTGAAGTGTTTAAAAATGCTGCTGGAAAATACATGGTGGAACATGAATGTTATGACTTTTGTAAAATAAAAGTAACCAAGTTAGCAAGACACACTACTAAGCTGATTAAATTAAAAAGAAACTGATATTAAAACTCATGCTACACAAAACATAATTAAAAATATGGAGAAGGAGCAAGAGTATGTGCATTTTCCTCTTCAAAGACATATTTAATCTTTCTGAAAATATTACAGTAGCAAAAAAAATCACATACTAATTGGCTCTGGGTTTAGAGTATTAAGACACGTTGTCTGTAATTCTGTGGGTAGACAATGCCATCTCTGTAATATTCATAAAAATCTGGCTCAAACTGATATGAAGTTCAGAAGAATGTCAGCACCTAACTGGAAGGTAAGCTGTAGTTCTCTCTGGCGACTGGTCTATGCTTAAATCTACACTTGTGAGACATAGTTCTCTTGGTGCCATACTGAAACCCACTGTGGACCTCTGGAATTGAACAGATGGTGGCCACACCCTTAACTGTAAGTCTAAACGCAACTACTACTACCAGTGAATTCTCTCATCCATGAAAAAAACAGACATAATCAGTCACTATAAACATTTAAGGATAGACAATATCAGAGCCTGAATATTCTAACCTGTATGCTCTAATCAAGAGCCAGGCCAACATCTTGGCAAATGAATAGTTGGGACAAAAAATTCCTGCTTTTTATGATCATGCCATTACAACATGTATACATACTGGCTATTCAAGGGAATCATGATTGTAAAAGTAAATGTTCTTCCAAAACCCTTTAAAATATTTAAGTGAATTTTAGTGATGGAAAGCAAGAGTTTGACAGTAATGAAGTCTATTCTTCACAGCACAGGTACATGCTGGGTAGTAGCAATACAAGTTTCCCCAGACTGTCTCTCAAACCTAACTTGACTACCAATTTTAGGGGTGAGAAATAAGCCATGGGGTACAAAACGATACGGACTAACCAGCATGACATTTGCAAGGGTAAATGTCTCTCCAAGTTATTAGACATGTCCTTTTATATGTGCAGTGTTGCACTGGTATAAACTTAAGGTGTGACTTTAAACTGATTTTAAAAGGTTTAGAAATTGCAAAATGGGTTGTGTGCTACTCATTTTGGTTTTAAATCAGACTTATTCCAGACTAATTTGATAAGGAACAAGTTTTAAGATAAGTGTCTACACATGGGTTTGCACTTGTTTAAATAATCTGGTGCAAATTTCTCTGTAGAAAAGGCCATTTTCTTTTTTCACAAAAATGAGTAGAGTTGTTCAAAGAAATATAAGCTATCATTAACAGTATGCATCCACATATAATTCAACCTCTGCTTCCGCCTATGTCTTAAGAAAAAATAGAATCTTTGGTTTTAATGATATAATATCTGTCACTGTAATATTATGGTAAAGAGCCCTGAAAATGCCTATAATAAGAAAGTATTGGAGCATAAGCTTTCGTGGGTGAATACCCACTTCGTCTGACATCTGTTAGTCTATAAGGTGCCACAGAACTCTTTGTCGCTTTTTTACAGATCCAGACTAACACGGCTACCCCTCTGATACTATAATAAAAAAAATTCACAGGTCCAGCCATCAGCTATAAAACTAGTTAAACCTCAACCACACTTCTCATAGGCCGCATTAGGCATGTTTATTAATGGGATAATAATAAACCCTTTAACAATTAAGAACATAGTTATCTCATCTGTGCACAGAAACCAAATCAATTTAATCCATTTCTCATCTCAGGGCTAACAGACTTTGACAATTTCAGATCTACAAAATACCTTGTCAGTGGAATCTTTGACTTTGTAATGTCTAATACATTTCTGGACCGCTATACTGCTCATGTGTTCTCCAGGGCTGGGCCAGTGGCAGCTCTTGCGTTGTGCTCCGGGGCTGGGCTTTGTGACCTAGGATTCAGGGTCGCAGCGCCACTCCAGTTTGGCCCTCCACACCACTGACCATGTCAGAGGGGTGGCTGGGCCAAACCGGAGTACCGCTGCAATCCAGCACACCTCATCACATCTGTCTTGTCATCTTAGAGCCAGGCTGTAAACCCAAGTTTTATCTTGAATAGCTTTTAAAATATTTCTTGCCCAAAGAGATGGTGGGTGACAGACACTAGTTGAAATCAAGCCTGAAAAGGATGTATTTTGGGGAAGATCCAAGCCATAGTTTGAGCCTCAGGTTCGTGCAAAAATGTTAAAATAACATTTTGATGACCTTTAATTTTTGGACCACTAACCCTATCTCAGGCCCCCAGGAGGCATAACAAATCAAGACAATCGGAGTAAGTCTGTGGATTTCAGAGCACTTAGAAAAATTAACTCGTAAATGGTAATGTAGTCTCAGCCTTAATTATAGTGATGCTTCTGCCCCTCCATAATTGTAGACATTCACTGAGTGTGTTCTTCAACATGATCAAAGTAGTACAAATCACAGTGTGCACATATCACACTACAGGGCAGACACACAACTTGGGCAATTGTAAGTAAGGCTATAAATTTGTCGTGGCGGGGGGAAAAGTCATGGATAATGTGATTTTCCTTTTGTTCATGGTTTACCCCACAGCGGCGGCTCTTATCCTGCAGGATGGGCCTGGATCCCCACTAAATCACGTGCAGCAGGACAGGGATTCTGTTGCAAGCCAGAGTATTTGCATGCAGCCTGATGTCTGAGAAAGAGGGTCATTCAAGGTGAAATGCTGTCACCGTTGACCTGAGCAGCACCTATACGCTATAAATCTAAGTCCTGGTCTCAGCAGCTCTTTCCGAATATATGTTATACACATTAATTGCTCTCTGCCTGCATTCTCTACAGGGGATCCTTCTTGAAGCTTTGCCTTGACAGCAAAGTTTCTGCTTTAAGAGCCAATATTTCAAATTTCTCTAAAATCTAATGCACACTCAGATTTTACTTTAAAAAGGAAAATTTTATTTTATTTACAGGAAAAAAAGTGTTCATTAAAGAGGGAAAATGAAAGATTCGTGGCTGCTTACTAGAGAGTAATGTAATGACATGCTTCTCACCCATTTCCTAAACAGTGGGACTGAGTGTGATCAAAGAAAATAAATAGTTACAACTCTCATGAATACCAGCATAATCAAAGGGCATCAGGAAATGCATCCATAGAGACCCCTATTCTAAGAACCGGCATTTGTTCATATAGATTTATCATTAAAGACACAGTAAACAATTTCAACTTTCTATGTTTGTTCAATCTATATAAACCAAGCATTTACACTTTTATTCACCCCTCAAAGTGCTGCAGTTTTTGTGAAAAAGGAAATCTCTTTTTGCAGAAGTCTGTACGTGACTAGAAGGTAATGACCTTTTCTTTCAGTAATCCATGTCTGTCTCAACTGGAGACCGGATTACTGAACAGTCTTCTACATGGGTATTCCCCAAAGGTGATTTGGAAATTTCACTAAGCGCAGAATATGGCACATCAGTTGTTTAGCAATGCTTCTTACAGAAAACACATTACCCAGTTATTTGCACTGGCTTTATCTTGCACTGTTGGTCCAAGAGAGCCAGAATCCAAATACATTTAGGACATACTTCTTTCAAAGTTTTATTATCCCAGTCTTCTGGGAGGGTGACAGATTAAGAAAGAGATGCAGAAGATATTTGTTAGCAAAATCTCAGGTGAAGTTCACAATTAACCTGCAAGATCTGCAAAAGTTTTTGTTGTATGTTTGTCTAGAGCAATGAATAGCCACCTACACCTCTACCCTGATAGAACGCTGTCCTCAGGAGCCAAAAAATCTTACCGTGTTATAGGTGAAACCGTGTTATATCGAACTTG